TTTATACATATCTTTCTGATTGTTTCAGTCGTCTCTTACAGTGTGATATGTGTAGTTGTGGAGTAAAAATAGTTTAATAGATAAATATAACTAAAAATCTGCTAAAGATGCATTGTGCTTATTTTTTGATATTTATTATATCAATGATTATATTTGATGTATGTTATTACATTTGAATATTATTAAGTTATTTTAAATTAATATTAACGTGATTTGTAGTTATTCGAATGTTATAAATATAACCAGAAGTCGTTGTCAACCCTTCAGGGTAAATAATTATTATAATTTTCATAACTTTGTGAGAAAAAACGCTTATTAAAATCTTCAAAAAATCCTAAGTTTGGAATATAATTTAATTACAACACTAATTGTAAGACTAAATAAATGGCACAAAGATCAATACTTAACGTAAATATTCTAGTCAGATTTTTTGTATCTAAAACTTTTCGACCTCATTTTTCCTCTGCTTTGAAGAATTCATGCGAAACAAATCTAACACAATAAAAATTATAATCTAAAGTTAGATATCAGAATGTTTAGATTATTGCAGATATATTAAAATTTTTTTGCGACTAACTTCTGAATCGAATGTAAATAGTGTATTAAAAATAAGTCATATATAATTGCATGATGTATGTTATGAACCAGACTTATATATATGATCTTATTAAGTTCAAACTGAATTTTGGAAATTTTCATATTTTCAAGAAATATATATATTTAATGGGTATATTACCTATATTTGTTATGCAGTAGTAACCCCGTACAATGCAATGTCCATATATTTGGTTAATGAGAACAATATACAAAATAAATCATTGAAAAGTGTGAACACTCCTTGCTTCGCTATTGTCTATGGCAAAATGGTTTTTGAATACAATATGTAAATATGATTTGAAGCTATTTAATCTTATAAGTTCAGTATTTGGCTTTATATTTATAACATACATAAAATAACCTATAGCACACATAAGTAGAATATATTGACATTGTCTCATAAAAAATAGTAGAGATGAGTAGAGCATTACCCATGAAGCACTTTAATGGCAAGAAAAAATTTAAACAAAATTTGATTAAAATTTTAAGAAATATAGTGAATATGAAGCCTTAGCATATTTTTAATGCTATAGATTTATAATAGCCAAGTTTTTGTTAGAACTGAGGGCAAACCGTAATAAATCTCACTAGCAATTCAACAAATTTAACTTGAAAAAAAAAATTTTAGCCTTAGCCACACACACATATATATATATATATACTGAAAGAAGACAATTTTCACTTCCGCATATATAAATAAAACTTTGCACACACACACACATATATATATATATATATATATATATTATTATTTTTTTTTTTTTTTATAATTTTTATAATTTTTATAATTTTTATTTGGCCTCGCTTACTCTGAGCATTTAGCCACCTACAACATTTATTTACATTCTATACTAATTTTTTATATCAAATTCAATTTATATACAGATTCTATTCTTCTTATACTATATATTTCTCTCAACTTATCTTCTTCACTAAATTCTATTCTTCTACATAGTTCAACTTATCTTCATTCCCTTTTTTTTATCTTCTTACTTCTTTCTACTATTTCATTTTTCTTTATTTTCAATTCTAATTCAATTTTATACATTCTAATACCTTATACATTCTAACCATTTTTTTTACATTCATCTTACAATTGAAATTCTGACACATTTTTTATATTTTACAATTGGAAGCGCCAGGATCGAACCAACGATCTCCGGCATGTGAGTCGGACATGCTACCTCTGAGCTATGTCCGCCACATATATATTATATATATATATATATATATATAAGTAAAAAACCTAAAAAATCGTAAAAAGTTAATATGTTGAAATTGTGCATATTTTATTAGGGCGTACAAATTCAATAAGTAGTGTTAATAGATGTAAAATAAACAACACACTCAAACACCTATATATATATATATATATATATATGTGTGTGTGTATATATATAAATAAATATATGCGTGTGAACATATATGTGTATATATATTTTTGTAAATATGTAAGAAATGGTTCAAGCACGGTATATTTTATATAAATAACATTTGTTTGCGGTCATATTAATATAAGTCAAATATTTGTTTAAAATGAGCTTAATTATACTCAAACAAATATTACAATTGACAAATACTTTTTTAGCAGTTTATTTCTCGTCTATTAGTTTACTTGCATATTTCGGATAATTATTTAAATACATTACATGTAGAAATCTTTTAAAATAACCATATTTATTTAAGAAATATAGAACATTACAATATATTTTATTTAAATTTAACTCTTATCTGATTATCTATTGTTCATTTCTATTCTAACAAAACTTGTTTTTTAAATGACGTGAAAACGAATTGACGTCTGAAATTGGAATTAATTTGTCATATTTTATCCAGGCAACTGTTATTTATAGAGTTTTGTTTTTGTTTAAACAAGATTGGGGGTGATTGTTACCAAAGAGCTAATATCTTATGATTCATATACAAATTATGTTCAATACTATGTTAAGCGACCGTATACAAATATAATCGAATATTTATCCAAAATTTAAATATAGATGATTAATTAATTTGTAAAATAAAACTTGCTTCTTGATCCATCTATTTCAAATGAATAAATAAACAAATGTATATATAAATGAAAAAGTAAATAAATAAATATAATGCTTATTAGTGCATTCTGTCGCAAAAAAATCACACCCAAGATGGCGATAAATGGATTGATTTTTGGCAATTGCCAAAATATAATATAATATATTTTTCTAATCTCATATAAAATAGCTAATCAAAAAGAATGTAGCTTATTTTAAAATTATTTCGTAAAACAATTATGTCGTGCAATTAAATCATGATCATGATTTAATTTATATTTCGAAATATAAATGTCATCACATAAAAATTCAAATGGCGAGTGACGACAATATTATCCACAATATTACAACTACTGCTTAGACTTAGTTATTTAAATTCATACTTATACTAATGCACTTACACTTATCAATTCTGATATTTTTAATGAGACAGAAATTTATGTAACAATGGTAGCAATAATCCGCGTTGGAGATAATTTTTTATAATAATTGTTGTATAAAAATAAAGATGGGATATAAATAAATTTAAATTATTTTTAATTTTATTATAACTAAAAATATATTAAATAAAAACCTGAGATTATAGATATATATTTGCATCTAACTTTTGGGAATCACGATAACCAAAACCTACATCCAATTTTTGAAAGAGAGTAACATTTTTCAAACTTTTTAATTCAGAGTAAAAAAAAATAAAAAAAATCAAATATTTCGATGAGTTTAATTAATTAATTATAATAAATAACAATCTATTATTAAATCATTTATAGATAATTGTATAATTATATTAATTATTAAATTATATAATTAATTAATTTTACTAAATATAAGTGTGAATTAAATATTATATATTAGAATTATATTTTGGATTTTGAAATTCGCATTAATAATACAAAATTCACGGAAAGTAAAATTTTCATCTAATTTAGTTCTAAAAATTTTGATAAAATATTATATTTTTAAGAATTATATTTATTCAAGAAAACTTTCTTAACAACTATAAAAATATTTATTTTTTGGAAAACTTAGGAATTTTGAAAATTCTTAAAAAGCATTCTTTCTTTTAAAATTTGTAGAGTAGCTAAATTTTTCTTTTTTAAAATGACAAGTTTGAAATGTTTTAGTATCAGTTTTATTTGCAAGTACCATAATTTCTTTTCTAATTTCTAAGAATAGAAGCCCATGCAATTTTTATAAATTTCTGATTAGAAATTGTAAAATCGTTTGTGTTGAGCGATAAATATATTGATAATTGTTATAAAGTAGTAGCAAAGGTAAAATTAAATATTTAGAATAAGTATGTTACTATTAAATGATTTTTTTCAAATCAATTTGAAGCGAATATACTAAATAATCATTTTTAGTAACTAGATGTAGATTTGTCACTAACAAATTGATAGACGCGCATTGGCAATAAAACTAATTGGTATTGGCATTTTGCCTTGAGGCAAGTTACATGAACTTCCCGGTATGTGTAATTAATCGACTTAATCAATAAAAAATAAATTAATTTATGAGTGATTAAAAGTATTCCGAGTGGATTTATTACACATATTTGAAAACTAACGAACACGTTAACTCAGTATCTTCTAAAAGCAAATTTTCAAAAATCAAGAATTTTTATAATTGAACCAGTTTCCGTGGAACCCGGTACTTCATCATACCAAGTAAATCGTCTTATTTTAATTTTAACAAACGCCAAAAAAACTACTCATTCTTTGATGAATTTTTAAAATTAAACTACATGTCATAAGGCCGAAATATTTTAATAAGTTGTATATAGTTGTATAAGACCATGATATAAATCATCAAAAAAAGTTCATAAAAATCGGCTCAATTTTTTTTTTAACGAAGAATTACAAGAAAACGCCTCGGTAGATTTTTACCTAAAACTAATCAGTATTATTCCCAACTAATATCTTTCAAACAGTTTTTGATTTTCGATTCGGCAGTATGAAATTTTTTTTCAACACTTTATTACAAGAAAACGGCCCGGCCGATCTCTACCAAAAACTCGATTCAGAACTGCGAGCTAAAACGTGAACGAATTTTTTTTCACATTTCTGCTATTTACAAAGAAACGGCTTGGCTGATCTTCGCGTAAAATTGATAAACGCTAGTCCTCATCGCAATACATCTAACGGCTTTTAAATTTTTGAAATCGGTCTAGTCGTTTTTGAGAAAACGTCGATTTACGGCAAAAAACTGTTCACACACTCACACACACACATACTTTTTCCAATTTGGTCTCATTCGATTCAGAATGGCTTGAAAAGTCGAGAAAACATAAAATTAGCGAATCGGATTGTTTGATGAAAACATAAACTTCTCCTTCGGGAAGTTAAAAAACAAATGTTTTTTGTATACACCTAAATGGATGAACAGTTTTTTTATAAAATCGTCGCAAATCCTGAAGGTATATACTTACAAATATACGTGCACGTATGCTACCCATATGAAAATACGCTCATTTTACTAAGTACCCCAAAATGATATGGTACTGAAATCTAAAATATTAAACAATTAGCAAAACATGAAATTCAAGGTTTTTGTAATATATGTAGTATAAAACCCAGAAACAAACTTAGAGAATACAAAGAAATTGAATTAATTTTACGAATTATGTTGAATATAAGTACTTTCATGGATAAACATAATCTCAAATTACTTGAAATAAAAAAGTAACTGATAGTATTAACTTCTCCTGATCTTCATTAACTCTCAATAGGTACTACTAAATTGCTTGCTTTTGAATTGAAAATCGTGTTAGTTAAATTATTATATTGTTGTTATTGATTTTCGTATGATAATTCACCCGTGGATATTATTCATTATTATTTTTTTTACAATTTTAGCAAAGGTATCGCATTCTCATAGATTTGGATATGGAAACTTGGACCAAAGGAGATGGCAGAAAAAACACAATCATTGTGGCGGTAAAATGCAATCGCCAATTGCAATTTACACAAGACGATCGATACCTTTAAGGATGCCTGCCCTAGAAATGGTGGGCTATAGAAACCCTTTGCCTGGTCCTTTGAAGATTACAAATAATGGACATTCTGGTGAGATACCGAAATATAAAAGACTCTATATTTTCGTATTTATATTATGTATTTCGACTTAGTCTACAAATTTTGATCCGAAATAAATAAAACTCACAAGTGAAGTTATTGCAATTTAGACTTAACAAAGCCATTTTAATGAATATCTAAAAGAGTTATAATATATATATCGTTGTCACTGCTGTCTGACTACAGGCTGCTCAAAGTGGATTTCGAACCCGGGACCTCTGAAACAAGTCCCGTCGCCTTTAACCGCTTACTTGCGGGCGAGCCCTATGAATACCATATGAATACTACAGAATAGGTAGAGAGGGACTTAAAGGTTCGCGGGGTAAAAAGGTCTACCACCGATATCTTAAAAACAAGTTAAGAATTTTTTCACAACAATATTTGAAAGTACAGCGAAAAATATGCATAACCAGCCATTCCCTTGATTTTTACGACGGGAAATGAACGGCAATGTTTGAGAATTCATAACAAAAGTATTTTATTTCGATGTTAGTTTTTTGGTTGCGAACACTGTTGTTACGTAAGATTACGTAAGCTTTTTTTTATTACAATCTGTTGTTCTTATACAACATTCAGTATTTTTATGATTTATTAAATAAAGGGAAAAAGTCGAAAGGTCACCTATTGGTGATCCGATTCGATGTTGGATATGTTTAGCTTATAGATGTAGTCCTGTTGTGAAAATTAATTAAGCCTACGAGTAATTGTACATACTATAGGATTACTAAAGAATATCAAAAAGGAGCCGTTTTCTCCTGAGCCGTTCAATGCCATTGTTTTTTTATTAAGTTTTTGGTCATGATGTTAGGGTGGTTCTGTATTCTAACCTTGTATCTCAGACTGAACATTTCAATTTCTTCCTTAACAGTTCAAATCTGTATGAACCAACCAATTTGGGACATACTTGGGTGCGTTTATAATTTCTTTCAGTTAACGTAAGCTTAATATAATTTTTATTTTTATTCGTTATTTAATTGTTTTATAAAACGTATTGTTAATATTAAGTTAGATTCAATAGTTGTACAACCTTTATAAAAAAAAACTTACGAGGAGGGGTAAAAAGGACCAACTAAACCTTTTTACCCAGGCAAAAGTGTAAACAATAAAAAATAGTAAATAATAAAGTAAATTAAGTTAAAATAGCAATTTTACAAGAGATAAATTAAATAATTAGTTGTTACAATGCAGATGAATATTTCTAGCGATATACCCAATCAAGGTTATATAAAGATTTATATAGGGTGTCTCTGTAAAAATGTACTCATGAAGTTTATTTTTTGCATTAATTGAGTAATGTAGCTATAATTTCGTGAACTCTATTGAACATTGAAAATAAGACACTGAAACTGTTTGCCCCCTGGCTGTCCTATTTCACCCCGTGTATGGATGGAAGATTTGCATTTATTACTTTTGTTCATGCTTCATATACAAATTTTATTGGCGTTTTTTGTGTACATGATAGATGTTAATAAAAAAATAGAATTAAGGAGATTTAAAAATGTACAAAATTCTCAATGTTACAATATTAGTAAAACCCGCCTGATATTACTATTTACAAAAACAACCGCGCAATTTTATCTGCGGCAAAGTAGGAGTTTTTATTTCACTACATATATTTCTTAATTTCCTAATAAATTTCATACATAATGTATATGATACACACATATGTATATGATTAATTTCTTGGAGGGCGTAACATCAAGTAAAAATAAAAAATAAATAAAGTAAAGATTTTAAAACATCTTCATTTTTCCATACGTTTTGAGGTAATATTCTACTTCATCAGTGGTTTTGAAATTCTTAGATTTACACTTACACAAATCAACAACACATAACTTGTGAATAATTAGTAATTGGAATCGAGCACTAAATGTCAGTGATTACTTTTTAATGTAAATTTTTTTTTTTGAATTAAATAAACAAGATGTAGCTCATCCGAGACGAGTTTAATTTCTGTCAAGACCACTGTCGTAGAGTTTTACGTCGAAACGCATGGAAAAATAAAGATGTTTTAAAAATCTTTACTTTATTTTTTTACTTGATGTTACGCCCTGCAAGAAATTAATCATACATTTCAACATCAAACCCCTTCAACATAATATTTATATATACTTGCAGTGTCTTTAAGCATTCCTACATTGGAGAAACCTCAACTCGAATTTGGTAGATTGCCGTATATATTTGGAGCTAGATTAGAACATGAGTACGAATTCGAGGGTCTGCATTTCCACTGGGGTAGGTGATCAGATCCATGAATTATTATATTTAGCTGAATACAATAGAATTATTATACAAATCGTGTTAATTCTTCACATATAGGTGAACGAAATAGCAGAGGCAGCGAACACGTATTGAATGATATTAGATATCCATTGGAAATGCATATTATTCATCGTAATATAAAATACTCGAACGTGGCGGAGGCTTTAAATCATGCTGATGGTCTGACTGTTTTGGCTTTCTTCTATCAAGTGAGTTTTGCTACATATAGTCAAATATCAGCAATATTCCACAGTTTATTTTTTTTGGGTTATATGTTGCACGCTTAGAAATTATTATTTCTGTTTTGCATAAATTTTGAAAAGTTTGAAATAATTTTAATAATTATAATCATTTCAGTTAAAAGAAAAAGAATCTAAGGAATTGTCCCATATAGTACGAAACTTCGAGCTGATTGAGCAGTCTGATACTAATACTGCATTGAACTATACATTCTCACTAGCATCTTTACTGCCGGAAGATTTGGACAGATTCTATACATATAAAGGTATTTAAAATTAAATTATTATTATGGAATATAAAAATGTTAAAAAAAAATAATATTACTAGTTGTAAATCTCCGAGGAATGTTTATATTTTGAACTCACGATCAAAAAATTTGTTTTGTTAATTACAATTGATAGATGAGTGCACAAATTTATGACAATGTGCAAGTTTTATTCAAAAATCATGATTTGATCGCCAGGATAGTATCTTTGTAATTGATTGCTGATAATTTTAATAAAACTTTGCATAGTAACAGAGTTCATGGACTAAACAAACATCCTAAGATATATCTCTACAAAAAGTGATTTAAGTATAAAATGAATATTGCGTTCTCGATCGTTAAAAAATCGCATTTTTAACGCGAGCAAGTGTATTAATTGTGATATCAAACATATTTCGAAAGAATGTAACAATTTTATACTCAATAAATACTCTTTTGTTAAACTTAATGATCATGAGCATGAAGGCACAAATCTAGGAGTATGGACAGGAGAATAAACATGTTCCACTTCTGAAGTGTTTTTCAATTATATTGTAAAATGTCAACAATTAAATTCGGATACTTTTGTTTCACCTTTCTTAAATGTTCAATATTTCAAATATACTAATGATATTAATATGAGTTTGTTATTTTAAGGATCATTAACTACACCTCCTTGTTCAGAAGCTGTGACATGGATTGTTTTTCCAGATACTTTGTCTATTTCAGTATTCCAGGTAAACACATCCATAAATTAGAAATAAATTAGTGACGTGAAAATAACATATAATTTCAAAAATCTAACGTTGGGTGATACTGATATATAAAGTAACAGAATAGTATGCTTTGTTTGTTACTATTTATTTTAATAAATTTGCTTGAGAGTTTGTTATAGAAATAAAGTATTAGCAAGATATGAATAATTTAACATAAGATAATTTCTTTGGAAAAATCCTTTTGTTTGATGATTGATTACATTTCAAAGTCCTAATTTTATTACTAAGTATCGCTGATCATGATTAGATTTTTCGAAATGCCAATAGTTAGTCAAAAATTAATATTTTAAAATAATATGAACAGATGCAGAAGTTCAGACAATTGTCCAATGGACTCGAAGACTCATTGCTGGTAGATAACTTTAGACATCTACAACCTTTGAATAATAGACGTGTTTTCGTCAGAAAATTGAATACAAGAAAAGTCAAAGTGGAAACATTTAATGAAACTTATCATTATTCAAAATGGGATTGGCTAGTGCCATCACATCACTAAAATTGGTTTTAATTTATTGTTCATTGTCACAACATACAAATTGTAAATATAGATTTATTAAATAAAATATATCATAAAAATATACTCTGTATTTTTCTGTAATTGAAACTAGTATTTTCCACTGTTTAACTCCTTTGCTAAAAGTGTCGTCCACGGACGACATCCGCATCACCTGCTGTTTGTACGGGTGTAGTCTATAGACTACGTGTTCCGTGTCGTCTTTGCTTAAAGATTCTTTACCATGAGTTAAACTATTGGATTTTTCAATGTTTATTGTAATTTTTAATTCATTAGAAGCAAAATTTTAAATTTTTTAACACATTTTTAATGCGCTTCTAATAGACACGCTGTTCTGTACAGTAGCAACACTTATGCGGAAAATACTCTCATAGCGAATTAAAAAATTAAATAAGAACTTCTATCATTCATTTTTTAACTTCCCTTTTTTAACAAATTTCCAGTCACGTTTTCGGGCGCACGAATCAACCGATTTGAATGGTTCAAAAAACATTCGATTCCTATTGATAGGGAGATGAGCTGATTAGTTTTTGGCAGAGGCAGGTCCAGCAGTTACGAAGATAAAGAGCAAAGAGTGCAGAAAATAGAAATCGAGTTTTTGAGAGAACTGAGCATCCGATTTGAATGATCTAAAAAACATTCAATTTGTAATAATTGGTAGAAGTGTTTGGCTCAGCCATTTCGAAGATACGGAGCTAAATGTGCAAAAAATAGCAGTTTTTGAGAGAACTAAGCGTCCGATTTAAAAGATTCAAAGAACTTTCTGCTTGTCTTAACAAAATAATTTATTCGGATTTTTTTTTTCAAAAAATTTTTTTTTGTATATCGAAAATAATTCAGATTTTATTTTTAATTCTGACTAAAGTTCTAATATACTTTGAACAAATAATTTCAACTTTGCAATTTAGTTTATATAATTCTTATAAATATTAGACAATGTTAAAGTATTTATAATAATCTATTTCAAAACATTCAGTATTCCTCGAACATTTCGTTGCGGTATGGGAAGTTCCAGCAATTTGCCTTAAGGCACGATGCCATGCACCCAACTAGTTATTTTTATGGATTCACACGGAGTAATTATTTGAATAGTCTTGTAATAAAAGAAAGCACAATGAATTTTTTAAAGTAATACTCCACTTTCACAAAATGTAAATAATAGTTCATCTATTAAGTTTAAAATCTTAATACAATGCACCCCGTTTTTAATTAAAATAGAAAATTGAATATATCATTACATAAATTTTACTGTTTTTAGATCATCTGAAGTATATAGAGAAATTAATTTTAAAATCATAACTAGTGTCAGTATTAAAAATATTCAATAAATATATATTTATATCATTTACTAGAAATTATAAGTCATTATAATTTTTTTTATATGATAGATTTGAAGAATAAAACTTGGTGACACAGATTTATTTTTAAGTGGCTCTAATTTTTACATTGGTTTTCATATTTTTCCTGAGTGTATATTATAAACAATTAACAAACCTTATTCTAACTAGTGGGGTGGGTGGCATCGTGCCTTAAGGCAAATTGCTGGAACTTCCCGTACCGTAACGAAATGTTCAAGGAATACTGAATGTTTTCAAATAGATTATTATAAATATTGTAACATTGTCTAATATTTATAAGAATTATATAAACTGAATTGCAAAGTTGAAATTATTTGTTTCAACAAAAAACTAAAAAAAAAAAAAAAAAAAAATGTAACAAAATTTTTTTTTTCCAAAATCAATTATTTTGTTAAGACAAGCACAAAGTTTTTTGAATCATTCAAATCGGACGCTTAGTTCTCTCAAAAACTGCCATTTTTTACATATTTAGCTCCGTATCTTCGAAATGGCTGGGCCTGCCTTTGCCAAAAACTAATAAACACTTCTCCCAATCATTACTAATTGAATGTTTTTTAGATCATTCAAATCGGATACTCCGTTCTCTCAAAAATTCGATTTCTATTTTCCGCACTCTTTGCTCCGTATCTCCGAAACGGCTGGACCTGCCTTTGCCAAAAACTAATCAGCTCTTTTCCCTATCAATAGGAATCGAATGTTTTTTGAACCATTCAAATCGGTTGATCCGTGCGCCCTAAAACGTGACTGGAAATTTGTATCCACACATACATACACACACACACACACATACACACACACACACACACACATCCATTTTTTCTGAGGTATGCCAAAATGTTCAGAAACCTTCAAAACGTCGAGAAATGTAAAAATTTTCAATTCCGATTTTCGGCCCATTACAATAACTTACCCTACGGGAAGTTAAAAAGACGCAAACCTAATTTCCAATATTTATTTATTTATCTATTCCTTTGGAAGCCGTAATCAATAAGAATAATTTTTTTTAGGCGTTTGTCAAGTTTATTCATAATTACCTAAATTAGCTTCCTTGTAGTAGCTAAAATATATAGTATACATTGTAAAAAAATAATGTTTATTATCATGTAATTAATGATAGATTGAACGCTGTAATAATCAAAATTACAAAGAAAATATATTGGAGACTTTCTTATAGACGAATAATACAGCTATTATTTTTGCACAGAATTATCAATTTACTTCAATAAAATAATTTATGATCCCAATAAATAACTGATGTATGATAATTACGCACATCTTCAAACACATTTATCAAGTCATCTGTTCAAATTAAGATTGTTCATTATTCAAATGAACCAAGAGACATAAATGTGCGACTGTGTGCGTACATCGCGTATAAATTTAGAATTTACTTTTAGTGATATTGGGGCCGTTTCAGGGCCACATTGTAGTAAATACTCGCGAAGTTTATATACTCGTATATCTTGCATCATTGAATGGATTAACTTATGCAAAGAAAAGCCCATGGAATAATTAAAACTAAAACTGCTCATTTTACAAATGGCTTGGCTTTGGATCAAAACAAAAGTTTTTTCAAAAATACTTTCTATTCGATTTATTGCCTTCCAGCAAAATAAAAGTTATAGTATTACCAAGAAATCGAAAAAGAAAGTACATCTTTACGGTTTAAGACCCCTCATCACATGTATTGACGGAGTGAAGAATTGACTTTTGGAAAGACAGGTTAAGTGGTTTCAATGATCCCATTAAAAAAATGTTAAAAAGAATGGCATTTGGACCAAAAATGATCATTAGACATATGCACATCAAATCATCAGATTTTGATTAAATGTGCAAAATTTGTTTACATTTTTTGGGTTACGTGGATTTAACAGGTAGACTGCGATGCGGCACTTACGCACTTCTATATTTCGTCTCTAAAACAGCTAAGCAGTGCGATCGCTTTCAAAAAAAAATTAAAACTTTTAAAAATTGTAAATTACTGTGCAAGAAGTTCCAAGTTGCCTTAAGCACGAAGCCATGCATCAAAATTAAACTAGTATTTTTATAATATAGAAAAAGAAAGTACATCTTTACGGTTTAAGACCCCTCATCACATGTATTGACGGAGTGAAGAATTGACTTTTGGAAAGACAGGTTAAGTGGTTTCAATGATCCCATTAAAAAAATGTTAAAAAGAATGGCATTTGGACCAAAAATGATCATTAGACATATGCACATCAAATCATCAGATTTTGATTAAATGTGCAAAATTTGTTTACATTTTTTTGGGTTACGTACCAAGATTTAACAGGTAGACTGCGATGCGGCACTTACGCACTTCTATATTTCGTCTCTAAAACAGCTAAGCAGTGCGATCGCTTTCAAAAAAAAATTAAAACTTTTAAAAATTGTAAATTACTGTGCAAGAAGTTCCAAGTTGCCTTAAAGCACGAAGCCATGCATCAAAATTAAACTAGTATTTTATAATATAGAATTATGATCTTCCAGGGTCCGGAAAAAGCGTGTTTGATGCAAGAAAGCGTATTAGGCAAGATAGAAACAATATTCTCTAAAGAGCGGGCATAACGGCGTATTATGCGGAAAATTGTAGTGAGCGTTTTAGTTTTATTGGGGTGGTACTGTACATTAATTTTACACAACGCATTTATACAATAATTTATTATATTTTTGCTAGTATTCTATTATTCTAGTATAAATAGAATAATCTGTACAAGTTTAACATATAACAACTTATTACATCGTATCGACCTACAGAAACATAGAATACTTAACAAATCAAAACCACAATTTTAATAAATCTCCAAAATTGTAATCGAAATCAATAAAATTTTAGATATTTTTCTTTAAATTAAATAATATGAAGTTTTTCATGTGCATGGTTAAGGCATTTATAATAAAACATTCATAATAATAAAGTAAAATACATTATATTTTAACATCACAATTCAAATTTTTTTATAATCCGAGCTAATTCCAATCCACTGTAAAAACAAAATTATGTACTGTATATTAAATAAACTCCACTAATTCAATTAATATTATCTCTTGAATAACTTGGCGTTTCTCATAATTTCCATTGTGCTTTAAAAGTTAAATTAGTTATAATTAATTAAATATGCTCTTTTTTAGTATAATCATTATTTTCTGGTACAACAAATCATGTTGTCTTGTTAATGTTAATATTTTATTTGTACGAATACTCATATAATATAAAAAACTTCAAAATCTGTGGCCGAGATTACCGATATTGTTCGGGTATAGACGAATGTCGGTTTTCCGATTTTGCGCACTAGTTAACGGTATTATTTTCTTCAGAAGTTTTTTTATTCGGTAGTTATTTTTTCATAGATCTTACCAATTAAATTCAAAATGCATATAAATATTTTGAATTTTTAATATGTTTTGATGTATATATTGTCAATGGCCAATTAACCGAGTCACTTGATAATGTTTGATATATATATATATATATATATATATATATATATATATATTTTTCGAAGAACTTTATCAAGTTTACTCGATTAATTGGCCATTACATGCCAAAATAAGGATCAGAATTAATAACTATTCGCACGTTAATATAGTTAATTTTATTTTCATTCAACTCCAAAATAATAATAGTATTTTACGTTTATTTAGTAAAAGTTTCTTATAAATAACATTAAATTTAACTATATGCAAATAGTGCAAATATCAAAATTACAGAATGTTGTGAACGGTGCCTTACTCTAGTTTTTCGAATCTTGCACGAGGAGATAACAGTTTCCAATAAAATAAAAATAACAAGGCGATTTAAAGTAATCAAGTATCATCTGTAAATATTAATTCTATATAGGAACCGTGTTCCACTGAAGCATATTATCAGTAAATAATATACTGATAATGAAATATAAAAAAATATTATAAATTTTCCAGATTGATGTAGACTTTAAAAAATGAGAATATATTAGGCTGGATAATTACAAACTTGTGAGCAATTACAAACTATTAATAACTCATGATAAATCAGCAATAATATTTTGTCAAGAAAACTAACTGTCATGCGTATTGATATATATGTATTCAAAAATGATATTAATAAAAATTGTATTAGTATTTTTTTTCTAAAGAATTAAATATAAACATATAATATTTTTCAAACCTAAAATATTTTAACTATATAGCTAATTACTTATTATATTTTAGTGTAAATCGTAAAATTTACTAAACGCAATGAAAAACTTATTTTTCTCATTAATTAATTAATTTTTGCCATTCTAAAAATTTCTTAAAATCCTGGTAAACTTATATATTATAAATCAGCTTTTGATATTTAATAAAGAAATTGATGTTTAGCCTATATAAATTTTTAATTTAATTAGGCCATCCAATGAGTCCGAGCAATATTTAATAATTATTCGCAAATAATGTAGAAACCCAAGTTCTCAGTTTAAATCAACTTCTTCGTCACAAATTTACTGTCTATTAAAATAAAATCGATTATCAAATCTGTGGATTGACCTTCAATTTAAAAGAAATTATTACCAATTTATTTTTAAGTTAATATGTATTAGTTTAGATTACCGTTATAATATCGTCCATCAATACAAATATGAACATTTATGAAATTGCATGGAGGTGAAAACTCATGAGCGTAGTCGAAAAAATGCCAAAATAGGGTTCGTTTTTCTTTGCTTAGTCGCAGCAGTAATATAAATTAAAAAAGATTCATATATTCATCCATTATTTTATAAATATATGATATGTTATTATTCCATAATTTGTGATTGAATTACTGTTAGTTTTCAGTTTGTGCGAACATAAGGTTAAAATCGCACGTGCATGAGACGTAATTAATGATTAATAAAACATTCAACATTCAACAAATAAAAAGTTTTACGTTAACGTGTGTCGCAAGATACTCATTTGCAAAAATTAATTAAGACAAATGTTTCGCTACTTTTATATTTAATCGAGAATTCTGATGAATGTTAATCAGACACGAGCGACATGCGTTGCCAATGATCACAGTTTAACAAAATTGATGATTTTCAATAGGTAAATAAAGTAAGTCAATGACCGCAGACGATAAAAATGTAGTAAATAAGCAAAGTCATAGTTAATGTACTTTGTAAATTAGAGTAGATCTAGAAAAAGTGTATTTTTATCCCAACAAAATTACTATTATTCACCATTATATTTACCCGCAAAGACTAATATTATGGCTGTTCAGTGAGGTTACAAAAAAAAAAAAGTTCTTTTCAATTGACAACCTATTATACATAAGTTTTCACAAGAAATTTACCAGTAGTTTACCCTTAAAAATATTGGTGTTCTTTTACTAGATAATAAAATAAAAGCTGTAGGCCGTAGTTGCCTAGTTTAATTTAGCAAATTTAGTAGCTTTTTAAGAAAATGATTAGCATTAAGTTATCTAATCAAATAAGATAATGTAATCTTTTCATTTATTTAATTTTTTCTGACAAATACATTCATATTAATTCAAGCTTTTTTATTTTATAATTATATATTTGGAAATTTTTTAAAACAAAATTTTAAATAATGTTATTAGTAAACATTTGTTTTCTAAATTACACAGGCCAACAAAGAAAATGGTGCAAACGATTTTAATGCTGTTTTTAATGCTATATTTGGGGCGCTGATTTAAAAAATGACATTGGTTTTTTTCTATGAACTTTAGTTTTCAAGATATGATATGAAAGTACAAAATAGTAATACATTTCAGAATGTTATTTTAATGAGATATGCCTACTCGTACATACAAATTTACAAGATCCATTCGGCCTTAGTTGGGACATTAGTTGACACTGTGAAAAGTTCTTTTCCGTGACGATCTAGAATGGGCCTGATTTCGGCAACTTTTTTTCAAGTTCCAAAATAGAGCTGATACAAAAAAATGGTTCGCAGATTTGAAATCAGCGCAAAAAATACTATAAGAATCAGCTCTAACATTTGATGCACCAAACAAAAAAAAATTTTTGTAAGCCTGTGTTATATGTCATTTAATATATAATTGTGTATTATTATGTATATAAATTACAAATTACGTTCACATATAATATCTGCAATTGTATAATTGCATTGTATTGTATAAACATAAATATAAAAAAATGCCAATAATTCGAAATATTATCCTAATGGACAACATTGAAATATTTGCAACAAATTCTCCATATTCCATAATAATTCTTGATTTTTAAATTATTGTAAAAGTAAGACCGAATCGTATGTATATTGACAAAAAAGAAATTGGTAAAAAAATAGCTGAAAAGATCGAAACTGTATAGTATTCTATTCAGCGCTTTATTTGTCATTGAGTCTTGATATGTAAAAAAAAGTATACATGTTGTTCGTTTAAGATTTTATAAAAGTTTTAAATATTCATCCAATAAAATATGAAAGAATAAAACTAATTCAAAATTATATTTATATTTGTAAGCAACATTTTAGGATGAGTTTTGTTACTTGTTAATTTTATTCACCCTTGGAGTATACAGAATTAATTGAAGTTTATCGGCGATAAAACAAATTTGTTTTGTGATTAATAATCAACTAATAATAATTTTAGATACTAATTGTGACATATAAGGAATAAATACATTCTTTTTATATATATATTTTTAGCAGCAATCAGAGCTTAACGAGCCCTAAGATCTGTCTGTACTGTTCTTGAACGACGTGTCTAGATAGTCAACCCAAAGGGTTGTCCTGTCTCTATGTAAGAAAGACAATATAATTTCTGATTTTTAACTTCCCGTAGGGTAAGTTATAGTAATCGTAAAAAAATCGAAAATGAAATTTTTTATATATCTTTACGTTTCAGAGGTTTCTGAACATTTTGGCATACCTTAGAAAAAATGGATGTATGTGTGTGTGTGTGTGTGTGTGTGTGTGTGTGTGTGTATGTATGTGTGTGTATGTATGTGCGGATACAAATTTTCGTCGACGATTTCGGGAACACGGATCAACCGATTTGAATAATTCAAAAAACATTCGATTCGTACTGATAAGGAGACGTGCTGATTAGTTTTTGGCGAAGTTAGGTCTAGCCGTTCCGAAGATACGGGGCAAAAAGTGCCGAAAACGGTAACTCAGTTTTTAAGAGAAGGGAACATCCGATTTGAATAATTCAAAAAACATTTTACTTGTATTGGCAAGATGAAGAGTTGATAAAATTTTCATAAAGGTAGGTCTAGCGGTTTCGGAGATATGGAGGAAAAAGTAAAAAAATGAGCCTTTTGGCGGTCAAAAATGATCATTAGACATATGCACATCAAATTATCAGATATTTTAACAATAAGTATACATTTTGTTAACATTCCTATGGGTTCCGTACCAATACTTATGCGTTAGACAGCGACGCGGCGCTTACGCGCTTTATATTTTGTCCCTATGCAGTTAAAGCAGTACGATTGCTTTGAAAAAAAAAGTTCAGATCTTCCACAATATGTCAAAATAAAGAAAAAAAATATTTTTTCAAAAAAAAAAAAATAATAAAGAAAAATTTTTTTTTTTAAATTTTTTTTTCAAAAAAAGTAATTTTTTGTCCAATTTATAGTTTCTCAAAAATCTTATTTTTTCAAAGTAATTTTTTTTTCAAAAATGTTAATCGTTTTTAAAAAAATAATAATTTTTGGTACGGGAAGTTCCAGCAATTTGCCTTAAGGCACGATGCCGTAATTGCCTTAAGACAGAATTCCACTTACAGCTAGTTTAATGATTTTTTTGTTCAAGCAGCAATGTTGGAAAAGGGTTATTTTCACTTAGAAATACATTGCAATCAAATAAGCGAAAACCGATGTCACTACTGCCATATTGATTTTCTGATGCAAAGTCTATCAGTAGGTCCAAATACATTCATCGGTACATTTATTCCACATACGGATTCTTGATGTGTTATTTTAAGTATACCTATTTTATAACTGAATACGTTACGTTTCTTGATAGCTGAAACAAATTAATGATTGTTTATAATTTCAGAAAAAATAGTAAATGAGAGAAAAATACGACTAAAGCCTACATTTGGCTCTATTTGCTTCGCTTAATCTTAATCGACTGTCGTGCGCACAATGTTGGAGCACCGGTAAACAATTCGTTCGTATGTTTGGAAATGTTTAAATGGGTGTGCCCCTTTCTTTAATTACATTATTTTGGTTTAAATCAGCCCCCGCTCCTTTCGTCACCAATCGAAAACCTATCTACGCCCATGAATAATTTTGCATGTGTGTGGCGATATATATGAATGCATGTGCAAAGCTAAATTTATAACTTGTGGCACATTCCGGCTAAGTGTAAATATTTACACATTATTACTTCAAACTACTGGTATAATTTATTGTTGATGCTTAATTTAGTAATTTATTTCGGCTGTAAAATACTCAAGACACGTATTGGTATTTACACAACGATATTTCTATATGAAAATTTGATAATAATTTTTATTAGCGATACTTGGTCGCTCATTTACTGTTAGACTGTTAAACAAAACGGTTTAATTGAATCTGTAGTTTGGAAATTAATAAATATGGACAGTAACACGGGGATTCAAATAATAGGTATGTCGATAATCAGTATCAATCATGTATATATATATATATATATATATATATAATTTCATTGAATATTAACTTATGTTAATTCGACTGTGATATACATAATCATACAAAAATATTTCGGATAATGTTTGTGTACGCTAAAATTACGATCAAACAACTTAAGATTTTTGTTTATTAAGCTATAAGTTAACATACAAGACAGTGCTTTTCATTATTCAATTTTCTAAAAATTATACATGTGAATAATATACGTCAATCAAAAAACAATTCGCGTTATTTCCAAAAAGATTAACATATGATAAAAGCGCTTAAAATTGTAAATAGTGTTCATGGTGCTAAAACTGTAACAGTCGAGTTTAAAAGAAAGTTATAGATAGGTCGTGAGTTTGAATATTTTTTAGCCGTTTGTACAAGACATTTAAGTGTAAATGGATCTTATAATTATATAACTATATATATACACGAATAAATATTGGTAGATATTTACCCCTTTCTACCTACTTATTGCGCATAAGTGCACATGCCTGAACATAATATTCATATTGAAATAATAATATTCATATTCAAATAGCTCATATGTTTATTATTAATGCAGCAAGCCTTATATGATATTAAAATTTTAAAATTATTAGGAAAGCCTACTATAATTTCGATAAATCGTTGTAAAGTGACCAATACCAATTTCTTGTGATATGTTGTTCAACGCAAAATAAGATGTGTTAAAATTTCGTAATATTTCATCAGGGTTATAAAAATATGGTTATAAATATTAAAGACAATATTTCTTGTAAATATGAAAGTTCAAACTACATTTCTAAAATTTAGAAAATATATACAAAAATGTAAAGTTTTGTAACTAAATTTTTCTTATACAAATTCAACTAAAAATATACTTCTAATATGTACATCGAACTAAAATTTGCAGCGTTAGAGGCATAGTTTAACATGTAGGATAAATTATTGAGATAATGATTCCAAGAATTGAAGAGTTATAAAAATAATCCATATTTAAACAAAATCTGACAATGAGAGGTATCATTGCTCGACGTAACTCGGTCCGCAATTTTTCATCTTAGACGCCTGTAACTAAAATTGAAACAAAAACTAAATATTTTATAATATAAATTTTTTATATTTAATTGTATTTAAATAAATTCATTAATTTGTTAATTTTCTTATATATAGTATCAACTCAAGCTTTTTTGTACTAAATGATATGTAATTAATATTGGTATGATTACTACTGCTTCATGAATATATTTGTGATATTTAAGTATATATGTAAACATATATATATATATATATATATATATATATATATATATATATATATATATATATATATGGTCAGTATATAAATCATGCCATTTATCGTATTTTATTGACGTAAAAGCTTTCTATAAACAGTTTTCTAGTGATTAGGCAAAAGTAAACAAATTATAAAAATTAAACCACAATCAACATAATTTTTCAGAGTACGTAATAAAGCAAACAACGTATAAAAAATAACAATGATGAAGTTCATTGTAACACGTAAATTTCCGAAGCCAAAAATGTATAGCGTTTATCAAAAAAATAATATTCTTAATTTATTCAGGTGTTCATCAGAAAAACTAACGTTTATCTACTTTTTATGGTAATTCATTTTTTAAGATCTATACCTTGGAACTATTTTGTATGATATTGTTATCTGTCACAGAGTTGTTGTTTTATCAAATTAATAAACAAAACGAGGGAGGTCAAAAATTGATATTTTATATTTTCTAATATAAATTCTATATGCCACTTTTCTTACAATACTGTACTTTACCCATTTTAGTTTACATATATTTATGTATACTAAATAATAAAATCAGTACATTTATCGTCATGCACAAGCAAAATAATTATATATTGGTTTAAAAGCTTTATTTTATTTTTTTATATTGTGATGAATAAATAAAAATGAAATACTCAAAATCTCGATATTACTTTTTGGACGAGATTTGCGTTCGTAAAAATCGTTCATTAAATTCAGTGCAGAATTGATTATGGCTTTTTTATAACTATAATAAATAACACCGTTCATAAAATAGTCGTAATTGTAATATCGGTTTAATAGGTTGATTATTTTTTGCCTTTTATAAATTAAATTGAATTGATTATAAATTTGATTGTTGTGCAGCCAACAATTTCGAATGATTTTTTATGGTTTTGAAAACTCATATACATATATACGCATAGAAATATTTATATGTAAATTTATATGTTTATTTTAAAATATTAAAATATGTTTCGATTATGTTTAGCTTCCAAAGAACCAAAACCAAGGCAGTTTGAAGATGCGTTGGCACTCACAGGTAATTAAATTATTTCTACTCTTATTACTCTATAATTATAGTTTATTGTGTGAAAGTATTTCTTGTTTTTATTTTCTAATGTTAATCATGTAATTCAAAATGTTTATTAAAATTGGTGCTTATATTTAAATGAAGTGAAATAATAACACTGCTTATATTGTTTACAAATGATTACGATTCGCTTCGCGTGATTGAATAATTCATAATACATATGTAGACATAAATATATATATATATATATATATATATATATATATATATATACGTGTATACATATACAATTACTCTTATACATTTTTGTTATACTTTAGTTATAGCCAAAAGCATAAAAACGTCATAAAAATATAATTTGTGTAAATTATTAGACTTGTAACTTTTATTTATTTTCTTATTAAACAATACAATCTGCTGATCATTATAGAAAACGATTGAAACTCGGATACTAGTTTTTTTGTTTGTATTGCAAAATTGTTTATAAAAATACAAAAATTCTTTGGGTCTCTTTTTGCTAGTAGAGTTAGTATAGAGTAGGACTATTTTTGGTCTGGAGAGGTCTAATCATCAATTTACTAATTTATTCGTACTAAAAGATAATGGGGATCATCACTGGAGGAGAAATTGGAGTTGATATTAATTTGTTTGCAATTTTCTAATAGTGAATCTTACTTATTTCAAATTATACTCATATCTTCCTTTCTAGTTAAGAAAAAAAAATTATCAATAAATATTACGACAAGTAATAATGTCTTTCCCGTTTTATGGAGACACTTAATATTATGTAGCATTTTTTTTAAATACAATTATCGATAATGCATAAAAAAGATTTTGTTTTTTTGCCAATTGTTATATTGGTTACAAAACTATGCCGAACTGTATGTATCGAATTGATATTTCAATATCTTTAGGAACGAACGCATTGATAGATCGCATCGGTGATGCTAAATTAAATCTGGTGCATAATGTCTGGATTTCATATCCTTCAATTTCAATTTTTGCTGGCCACTCCGTTAGATCTTATACTCGAAATTCACTTATCCAATCATATTCTGTATGGAGCGATTTTTAATTTTTTTTTTACTGAAAAGCGTTCCGGTCCAAAAGTGATTTTCCGGCGCGCTCTGGCTCGACAACGCCACTGTATATATAGTCCAATAATCGAAATAAAAATAAAAAATAATTGAACTATTTATTATGTACGTTTCAATACTGCACGTGTTTCATCATTAAGTAAGTTAATAAATTCAATCACAAATAAAACGGTATTTTTCCTGGATTGAACTTGTAACTTGCCGACTAATAACGCACACGCAGTATCGACAAGTGTTAGAAGTATCTAATAGTTGAGAATTTTTAGTTAAAACCATATAATGGTCTGATACTATATTCAAAATGCAATACTTTTTGAGTGAAATAATATATTTGTTGAATATTTTTGTATGAATAATTTTGGCGACCATGCAACTTTAAAAAGCCGTCATATGTTTACATAAAAGTGCAATATGAAGCCCTTTGGAAAGCAATAAATATTCAATTTAATGACGGGTCAAAATATTTCGACACTTGTACAATAGAACGACCTAGAGAAACATCCCTTCGGAGCGATTATGGCATTTAAAGTTTAAATGGTTGCGAGAAACTCAAACCCATATGTTTGCATATTAATACTCAATAATTCCAATATATGAGTATTTTACATAAAAAAGAATAGAAATAGAGTTATTACTAATGTTGTAATTGTTAAGTATTATTATTTGAAATAATTAAATTTCGATTCTTTCTAAAATAAGATACTAATTGTATTGTGATTGTTAAGTATTATTATTTGAAATAATTTTATATTGTTTTTTTTTCACGTAATATTAGTATTGCATTTGTATTGAATATATTTTTATAATATATTTTGGCACTTCAAAAAGCCGTTAAATTTTTTTAGAAGAGTATTAAATAAACATCTTTATTTATTGGTGTGGCCCTATTCATTTTGGGTCTTTTACCAATAAATTTTGAGACTAATGACCTTTCGAGATCGTCATTTGGCACTTTTTTAAACATTATGATCACCTAATGGAGGTTATTGTATTTAGTTTAAGCATATGTGGTAAGTTTTTCAGTGGTGTTCATCGATTCCTCTCGATAGTTTTTGAGTACTATCGACAAAAACTATCGACATCGACAAATATATCGAGCTAAAAAATCAATAGTAAAAGTACTCACTATCGACAGCGAAGTATCGATATTTACTCAGTTCTCCATATTTCGTTCTAACACTAGTATCGACACGTATAATTTTTGTTTATTTCGACTATTTGACTGCAAAAAATATTTCAATAATATATACAATGCTTATAATTTTATATTTATTTTATAGGTTTTGGAAAATTCAATTACCTTCTTCTGGTCGTGAGTGGATGCGTATTAGTATGTGTTTTGATGGAAACTCTTGGAATGAGTTTTGTCGTTCCTTCAGCACAATGTGATCTGGAATTAACAACAAAACAAAAAGGAATATTAAGCGCTATAGCTTTTATAGGTAAGCGCCAGGCAAATTATTTATCAACTTTCCGCAGCGTAAATTATATTTAGTAATCGCAGAAAAAAGAGAATGAAAATTTTTCATCCACGATTTCGAGATCAATCGATTTCAATTATTAAAAAAATATTCGATTTCTATTGATGGGGGTACCTGCTGATTAGTTTTGGCAATGAAAGCTCAAGATTTTCAAAAACTACAAAAATATCAAATATTACAAAAAAGCCCATTTTTATCAAAATTTTCGAAAAAATTTTTTTTAAAAAACTTTTTTTTTTTAAAAATGTAATTTTTGGTACGGGAATTTACAGCATATTATCTTAAGGCACGATGCGATGCACTACTAATGATTTGCATTTAATTTTGTAATAAAACCTCAATTCGATTTTGTTAAAAATGTATGTGATATCCTAACGTCATCTGCTGTATTTTGAGTGTCTCTTAGATGCTGGGTTTTAGACTTCGGTGACAAATTATACCAGAATACCTAAATACAAAATTTTGATATATTACATTATATTATATCTACCTATACAAATACATTAGATACATTAAATGATATTTATATATTTTATTTGTTCAATATAGTTGTTATATTTTATGTGATGAAATAAAGCAAAATTATTCAACATTTTTATATTTATATATTAGGTTAATTTTTTTTTTGTTTTTTGCGTAATTGCATAATTTGCATAATTATTCTAAAAAAATATTTGAGCAAGACAATTACAGAAAAAATGTAAATTTTTAATATATTCTATAAAACGTAATAGGACAACTGTTTATCAAATTGTACTATCTTCATAATTACGCCATATTAGTGATTTAGATTATATATTAGATTAATCTATTACAGGTATTATAAGCAGTTCACATTTATGGGGATTTTTAGCCGATACGAGAGGGAGGCGGAAAGTGATTATGCCTACACTTCTTCTTGCATTTTTTTGTACCTTGGCATCTAGTTTTGTAAATTCAGTTTGGCTGTTTATTTTGCTGCGATATTTCAATGGATTTTTGTGAGTAAAATTATTAATGATTATTAATTTGTGTGTTATGTACAATATAGTAGAACATACGTTTGTTTAAAGTGTGCCGTAAAAACAGTTAGAGAAATCAACTAAAGGGATCTTTTTTAATTTCTAATATTGAATGAACATTTGATCATTTACGCATACCTAAACAGAACATATATGTTAATTCTGATATATATATATATATATATACATATATCTGATATATATATATATATATATATATATATATATATATATATATATATAAATTAAAGTTTGATCTATAAAAAAATTAAAAATTATTCCACATTTGCCTATATTGTCAGGAAGATCTAGCTATTTGTGCGTTATGTAAAAACAAATTATCATTTTACTAAAATTTGGATTTAGTATCACTATAAATTTATTTAGATAATTTGCTCTAGATAAAAATGTCTATATCCTTTTGAGAAAATGATTTTAGAATATCCTTGAAATATTTCTCGGTATTAATTTTTATATTTGTAGCAACGGATTAGGGTTTACATATAAACCGACATTTTAGAAATCGGTTTTTGAATAATGATTTTCACAGAAAACCGGATTTAACCGGTTTCGTATTTTATATAGAGTTTTTATCGCTTGAATTTTTAACTTTTTGAAACTTAATATTAATTGTTAATAATTAAAATTATTAACCAAATTCTAAACATTTATATATATATATGAATTAATTAGTAGAAATTATAACAATACAAATTCAAAGCCAAAAAAACATTTTTTAAATTCATAAAAACCAAAGTTAGTTAAAATAATTAAGGAGTATTTACTATTCCGAATAGTTTTAATATAAATTTGGATTTATGAACTACACATAGAAGCAACACACACGTTTCGTGGAATTATGATGCACCGGTATGATTCCAAATCTTATCGGATCGATATGATTCTAAGAATCAAACCGCTTGCATTCATTTGGACCATAGGTTGCCAAACTTGTTTTTGCCATAGATCACTTGCAATGTTTTATGTTTTGTTATGGACTTCCTATATTAAAGTGACCACACGTACCAGTTTCGCCGGAACAGTCGGGGATTTCCATCTAGTGATCCGGGTTTTTATAAAATCAATTTTCGGCCCGGATTGTGCCGCGTTCTCAAAAAGTATAGGTTTGAATCGAATCTTTGCAATACTTGATACTAAAATTACAACTACCCATCAAATATCTGAAAACGATATATTTCACATTACTCAATAAATGCTAAGGATAACGAAGAAAAACTAATGTTTTTGGCAAATTTCTTTTTTTTTATGCATATAGTTTGTTTCAAGGCGATATAACGATCAAAGCGAACTTCAAACTTTTCGAAACCATTTTTGTAGTACGATTTGTACTTTGCCACAAAATTCAGCTATCATCTCATCATATGCGAGGTTGATGGGTGGCTGGCTCCGCTCTCAATACTGGTATTGGAACAGATTGTACGTTTTTAAAAATGCATAATTCGATTTTGATGAAACTTAGCGCACATTGTTACTACACTTTACAAAATATTTGACTAAAATTTAAAGTTGAAACATTCAATAGTTTCTGAGATATGCGAAGTTGATGGGTGGCTGGCTTCGCGCTTAATACTAACATTTAAAGTTTAAATCATTTCTAAATATGCTGTGGACCCCCAAATTTTAGTTTGACCCCTTGAAAGTTGCCATGGACCCCGTGGGGGTAAAAAATCAGAATTATTTCACTATTACCATCTTAAAAATTAAAATTATATACGCACGTTCTCTTCGAGTAAAAAACTTATCGTGGTAAAATAAAACATCACGAAGACAAACCTATTCTATAAAAATAAATTAAATAAGAAAATAATTAATTTAGTAAGAGGTATTTTAAAGGATTTATTCTATATGAGAAGATAAAATATTGAACATGGTATTTTATTAATTTTAGCGTATCTGGAGGAAGTGCAACAATATATGCATATTTAGGAGAATTTCATAATCCTAGGCAATCGCAGCAGGGCTATTATGGGAGCGTCAAGCATATTTAGTAAGAGGTATTTTAAAGGATTTATTCTATATGAGGAGATAAAATATTGAACATGGTATTTTATTAATTTTAGCGTATCTGGAGGAAGTGCAACAATATATGCATATTTAGGAGAATTTCATAATCCTAGGCATCGCAGCAGGGCTATTATGGGAGCGTCAAGCATCTTCGGATTTGCGTGTCTTGCATTACCGAGTGAGTAAAAAAATTAAATGATAAATATTGCAACAGTAAGGAAAAAAATATTCAAAGAAAAAACATGTTTAAAAATCATATTATATTATAATCATATTCTGCACGTTTTCACAAAATTACTTCTCTGAGTGAAGCATAAATTTTCATACTATTAATATCATAAATTCATTTTATTCATTAACAGCGGTTGCATGGTTAATTATAAATCAGAAATGGTCATTCTATATTGACTTTTTGGGATATACATACAAGCCCTGGAGGTTGTATATGGTTGCATGTGGTTTGCCATCACTGCTTTGTTGTTTTGCTTTGTGGAAATTACCAGAAAGTCCCAAATTTTTGATGAATCAGGGAAGAAACGAAGAAGCTCGTCAAATTATTGCCAAAATGTATAGAATTAATACTGGTAAACCAGAAAGTGAATTCCCCGTAAGTATGTTAATTAACATAATTAATTCACAATGCTATTTCTATATCTTAAATTATTATCTGCCATTAAATAATTTTACTTGAATGAAAACTTCGATGCAAAAATGTTCATTTGAATAATATAAAGACAAAGTATTTTTTGCAACCATAGTTTAAATATATATATATATATATATATATATATATATATATTATATATATTTATGTTACGTAGTTATAAATTCTGTTAAAACTCTCCTTCGATAAACTCAGGTTGTTGGGTTATAATTTAACCCTTGTAGCTGTGAACTGTATTGAACACTGATTTGTTTGTATATTATGTATTTGTTGCAGTTCATATTACAATCACTGATTTGTTACTAAGTTATAATGAAAGAAGATACATTTATTTATTATTTATTGAACATGTTGTTACGCGGACTTTACTTTTAGAAGTGTACAATTAGTTCTATCAAAACACTCCTCTACCCCCTTTACCAGGGGTAGCAATCTATTCGTGTAAAAGCTCAATGCCATGAAGATTGTCACCTTCATGGCCAATATAATAAAATAAAAATACGTCCAAACGATATATATATATATATATATATATATATATATTCACATAAATAACAAATATGATTCAAACTATCAGATTAATAGAACTATATAAGTAATATGTGTCAATTAAAGTATGATTAAAATTACTATTAAATGCGATTTGTGATTTTATGTATTGAATGCGAATTGTGATTTAACAATTGCTCTTTCATATATCCCATACATTTTAAATATAACTTCAATACTTATATTTCTGAAGTCTCACGAGCGGTATATAAAAAATAACACGAACAAGAATTATTTAAACTGTAATATACTATATACATTCTCATTTATTTTATGCTGTTATTATTCAATGATAATGCTTTATTCAACAATTTTATTAGGTATCATCAATCTTAGATGAATATCCAGGAGTGGATGGTGAAAATACAAATAAAACAAAGAAATCATTTTTAAGAACTGTATGGGATCAAACTGCTCCGCTGTTTATGGGTGAGCACATGAAAAAAACACTCATTGCATGTACTCTGCAATTCGGAATATTTGCCACGTAAGACTTTTTATCAACTTTATATATAAATAAGATATATATTAGCCCAAATCCCATTATATTCGTGTTAAGATTTTTATACCCTATTAACTATAGTAATGCTAAAAAAAATATTCTTGAACAGTAACTTCTTGTAAAATATTGTACATCAATCATTTATTTGAATAATTTTCACATTTGTTCTGTTTTGTGCGTTAATTGGTCAACGAAATTCACTTTTCTAGTCATTATTATTATAGTTTGTTTGTTACATCATTATTTATTGAATGCATAACGGAGTCATTAAATATTTTCCATTTGAAACGAATTTGGATCATGTTCTGAATTTCAATTAAGTAACAAATTGTTCATTTGCTATTGTTGGATGATGTATGAAAAACAATATAATACGTTATGCATAACGAGGAATATGATATATGGAAGTCTATTTTTAATATTTTTAAAGTATATTGATTATGAATATTAATTAGCATGTCAATGACAGGTTATTATGATTGACGTATTAAGTATATATATATATATATATATATATATATATATATATATATATTCTCAATATTATATTAATTAATTAATAAGTGAATAATAAAAGTTTTATTAAACAATCCCTAGGCTCCTTATACGGTTGATGTCCTAAAGCCTTCATTTTATACAAAAATACCAGCAATTTGTAAATAAATAAAATAAACCAAAACTAGTGGGGCATCGTGCCTTAAGGCAAATTGCTGGAACTTTCCGTACCGTAATTAAACATTCGAAGAATGGAAATAATCAATAATTGTTTTGAATAATTTCAAAAAGATTATGTATTACATACTGTAAACTTATAAGTGCTTTTAAATTGGGCGACGAGCGTATTTTATGAACAACTTATGTGTACGTTTACAAGAGTTCATTTTTTTAAATTTGATTTTTTTGATAATTTAGACATTTTTTGATAATCTAGAATTTTTTTTTAAATTTAAAAAAACGTTTTTTCTAAATATTTTGAGAATTTGGAAATTTTTGAAAATACTAAATTTTTTTGAAATTATCGAAATATTCTTTATTTTTGTAAGAAATCATATTTTTTAATTTTCTAAATTTTAGTTTTTTGTTGAAAAAGATGAAAAAATTCGAAAATTTGAATTTTTTGAAACATTGAATTTTTTTGAAAGTTTTGACTTTTTTTTGAAAATTTTCAAAATTATTAAATTTTTTGCTCAAGCAAAATATTTTTTGAATTAATCTAATCGGATGATCTGTTCTCACAAAAACTGCATAACCGTTTTTACACCCTTTGCGCTCGATACCTCCGAAACAGAAAATTTTGCAAAAACGCCGATAACCGTTGTGCCAAAAATTGTAATTCAGTTTTTGGGAGAACGAATTGTCGGATTTAAATAATTCAAAAAACATTTTACATGTATTGACAAAATAAAGAACAAATTATTTTTTTGGAAAAGCAGGCCCAACGGCTTCGAAGATCGAATGAAAAAAGTAAAAAAGGTGCCATTTTCCCATTTCATTTACTAATATTTGCAATTTTAATATTTTATATATTATAATTTATATGTATTACATTATTTTATTAATATATTTTATTTTCGAATGTTATGAAAAAAATCAATACTATTAATTAACTATATTATTTGAAATATTTTTGATAATATTGATAGTTTGAAATAGTCTTAATAATATTTTTGCTGAATAAATTACTGGGAATAATTTTTGTTACATTTTTTCATATCCTTAGCAATCCCAGACAAATTTTCTTCTGAAAATATTTTTAAAACATATAAGGTTTTTGGATTAAACAAATTAGAATTGTTAGTAAATAACCAAATATGAAGAAATCCAAGACGAATTACTTCACATGTAACATATATTAATATTACATATATTCTTTATTTAATTTCAGATCTAACGGCATGTACATGTGGTTTCCCGATATCATAAGTAAAATGACAGAATTTCAAAACGCTCATCCAGGAGTACCAAGTACAATATGCTACGTTGTCCAAAATTCATCAATGCTTAGGGCGGACGACTTCATTGATACTACGAATAGTACGGTAAGAATATTGTAAGATGATCCAATAAGAAAACTAGATTGTAATTGTAAATAATTATTATAGACCGAGTGTAAAGACACAATGGAAGAACAGGCATTTATGCATTCTTTAATGTTGGAAGCTGGATATGCGATTGGATTTCCCATAATAGGTGCTATTATTAACTCTGTGGGAAAGCTTCCAATTCTTGGTACGTATTCGTAAAAACACTCACTTGCACGCACCAAATATTAAAGATATCAGTAATAATGTGACATCTAATACGCAACCTCTATAAGATGATAATTAATATTGGGGGAGGGCGGTGGGGCAATTTAAAGTGAAAGCATTCGTATGCAAAAAAAAATCTGAAGAAAACATTGTTATTTCTTTTTATTTCGACTATAATTGATTTTGGTTCCAGAAGATATGTCAGCTATTTATTGAAAATTATGTTGAACAATGTTTAAATGGTTTATCATGTAGAAAAGAGTAAAACAAACTTGTTCAAACAATATCTATTTGCTAAAATAAATATTAAAATTTTAGTAAATAGTTATTGTTTGAACAAGTTTGTTTCTACAGAATAAGCCACTTTCTGCGATTAAAAATGCTATCAAAGTAAAAATGAAAATAGTTAAGAAACATGAAACAAAAATAACTTCAAACAATACATTTCATATTTTACAATATTTTTTATTAAAAAAAAGTCTCCTCATACCAGAACATAAATGCTAAGAAATTTGCTCCAACGTGCAAACCAAGCCAAACATATAAGTGCCTTTACTTGGCATAAATCATAACTTAAATTCTATTATATTGAGCCCGTCGTGGTTTAATTATTAGCATAAACTAGTCCCGGGTTCGATCCCAACCTCAGCCTATATCAAGCAGTGCAATATAAAATTTTCACGAGATTAAAAATTTCAAATATAATGTCGAATGAAAATAGCCTTTTCTGGGCATTGCTGCAACACACACGCGAACAATATTAGATATACACATTTAATAAGTAAATAAATTTATATGGAATAAATTTATGTGGTCCTTAATATGTATATTTCCGAATTTTTTTGCTCCCAAGGATTCAAATGCTTCCAAATTGATAAAAAAAAATCTCTAAAAGTTTTAAGTCTCAATATTAACTTTAAGATAGCTCGCACTCCAACCAAATTTCTTATGGAAATAACATGGGTGAAATTTCATTTGTTTTCTAGAACTTTATAACTTAACGACAATTGAATCAAAAATTTGAGAATAACATAGTATTTGCTTATTTTGATCATAAATAAAAAAATTACAACAAAAATTTAGTATATATTATAAAATAAGTATTTACTTAGAAAATAGAATCTAGAAACTTTGGTTGGACTGCGGACTATCTTGAAGTTATTATTAAGAGCTGAAACTTTCAGTGATTATTTTATCAAATTGGAAGCATTTGATTCCCTGGGATCAAAAAATTAAAAATATCCATATTAAAAAATATGTATATGTTATAAAAAGACCTATCATATATGTTGAAAGTTTGATCATGCAAGCCGTAATTTTTTTTTTACAAAAGTGCATAAAAACTGACAATCATTTGGGCTTCAATTGTAATATATAATTGATATATGAGTACATTAGCAACTATATTATATTTTCAGTATTCGTGATGGTCTCATGCGGGATTTGTGGAATAATTTGTGCATTTATTGAACATTTAACAATAGCATCATATTTATATTTGTGGTTGCTGGTTTGCGGAATTGCTGTGACAGTGGTAAACGCGGCATTAGTAGATCTGTACCCTACACAACTCAGGTAATGTTAATTTGAAAATTTTAATTTATAACGATGTTATATAAGACACTTAACTCAAGACAAGATTTTTTGCTGAGAAACTTGAAAGTCTCGGCAAAAATTAGTGAAATTACTTCACAATTTTTGTTTATCAATTAACACGTTGACTGTGGGGCTCGTTGTCTCTATATTATTTTTCTATGCTAAAACGTTGTATTTCTAAAATGGTTTCATTAACACTGTATTATTTTGTAATGAATAGTTTCGTTTAAATCGTAATTCAGTGGCTGTGGCAAAAAGTAGTAGTTGAATCCTCCATCTCTCCACAATAATCACTAACTAGTTAGTTAGTTGGTTCTACTACGCTAAATTGGAACAAATTTAAATATAATAGATATATAATTCTTTACAGCTTTCACGACTGTTAATTTGACAATAATACCTTTTAAAAAATTATTTTTTAAATATTGTGTAACTTTTATTTCAGGGCAATGGCAGTATGTATATCTTTAATGATGGGTCGATTAGGAAGTGTTGTTGGAAGCAATGTTGTAGGAATAATTCTAGATTATAATTGCGATTTAACATTTTTAATATCAGGAACATCTCTGATAGGTAAGTAATAATTATTATCATTTCCTATAGATTCATAATTTAGCAAATTGTATTTATGCATTTTTTAATTATTTTTAACAACCAATAAATTTCAAGTTACAGTAATTATTAGCTTCGCGTAGGGTGAGTTATAGTAAATGTAAAAATATCGAAAATAAAATTTTTACGTATCTTTACGTTTCAAAGGTTTCTGAACATTATGGCATACCTTAGAAATTTTTTTGTATGTATGTGTATGTGTGAGCGGATACAATTTTTTGTTGACGATTTCAAGAACACAGATCAACCCATTTGAATAATTCAAAAAACACTCGCTTTCTATCAATAAGGAGACGTGCTGATTAGTTTTTGGATCTTAGCTTAGAAATTTCAAGTTTTCAAAATTTCTAAAATATTATAAAGTATAAACTTCCCGTACCAAAAATTATTATTTTTTTGAAAACGATTAACATTTTTGAAAAAAATTTACTTAAAAAAATGAGATTTTTGAGAAACTATAAATTTGACAAAAATTACTTTTTTTGAAAAAAAAATTCTTTATTGAAAAAAAAAATGTTTTCTTTATTTTGACATATTTTGGAAATTCTGAACTTTTTTTAAAAGCAATCGTACTGCTTTAACTGCATAGAGACAAAATATCAAAGCGCGTAAGCGCCGCGTCGCTGTCTTACAGATAAATATTGGTACGGAACCCATAGGAAAGTAAACAAAATTTATATTTATTATTAAAATCTCTATAAAATATCTGATAATTTGATGTGCATATGTCATCATTTTTGATCGCCAAATGGCATTTTTTTTACTTGTTTCATTAGATCTCCGAAACCGCTAGACCTGCCTTCATGAAAATTTGATCAATTCTTCATCCTGTCAATACAAGTAAAATGTTTTTTTAATTATTAAAATTCGCCGCTCCGTTCTCTTAAAAACTGAGTTACAATTTTTGGCATTTTTTCCCCGTATCTTCGGAACGGCTAGACCTGCCTTCGCTAAAAACTAATCAGCACGTCTCCTTATCAATACAAATCGAATGTTTTTTGAATTATTCAAATCGGTTAATCGTTGTTCGCGAAATCGTCGACAAAAATTTGTATCCGCACACATACACATACACACACACACATACATCCATGTTTTCTAAGGTATGCCAAAATGTTATGAAGGTTTTGAAACGTAAAGATATATAAAAATTTTCATTTTCGATTTTTTTGCGATTACTATAACTTGCCCTACGGGAAGTTAAAAATATCAAATTTATCAGAGAGGTCAATAGATTTTTCAAAAATTTTAAAACTTTCAAGAAACTATTTTTTAAATTTTAAAAAGTTCCAGCAAAATTTGCATGACATGTACCACTAGTTACTTTTTCAAAAAGCAATTTATGAACTTCACGTTATATTGTAATTAGCCAAAATTTTCGATATTTTGCGATTCAAAAATATAGCCTACTGGTAAGTAATATTTATGAACTTTTATAAAGCCAAATATTTTAGAATCAATATTAAAAATAACTTACCCTACGGGAGGTTAATAAATAAACAAATATAGAATGTAAAACAATCAATTGAGTTTCTACAATAAAAATCGAATTCCACATAAAGCGAATGCTATCATAGTTGCTATCAATTACACACGAACATATAAACATGTTTATTCATTAAACTTTATTAATTTCCAGCATGTGGAGTGATTGCATTCTTTATACCGAACATTTATCAGAAGCAAGTGGATAGAAGAACGAGCATTGCTTCATATGGACCATAACCATATTTCCGTCGTGTGTTGTGAAATGCAATTATACTTTGAGAAAGTATTATCAATTACAAAGAAAATTCAGAAGTTGCTACTGAATCATTTTCTAAAACATCGACATGAAAATTAATAACTCTTTATTGTTATTAGATTCGATGTAAGATATATGTACATACTCATAGGTAAAAAATGTTAATGCCGTCAATGTTCAAAATTATAAAGAGAATAAATAAATACTTAAAATATATTTTTTTAGTATTGAATAATGTTATAATAATGCAGATGAAAATGATATAAAAATACAAATTTCACATTTTACGATTATAAATAACACTTCATAAACCGCATTCGATTTGATTTTATATCTAAAATAATTTATTATTTGCTATAATGTTTACTCATTCTATTCATATACGTTTATTTTTTGCATTTTAAACATAGAGAAGAGAACATAAAGATCGGCGGGAAAAAAGGTCCATCACTGATATCTCAAAAACTAGCAAAGTTAAGAATTTATTAACAATATTTGAAAGTAGAGAGAAAAAGATCTATAACCAGACACCACATTGATTCTTACGACGTTGCTATCGGGAGAAAAATGGCAAACGTTTATAAATCTATAACAAAAGTATTTTCTTGCGTTTTTATTTGTTTTAATATAATGTTTAAGTATATGTTGTTCAATTGTTTTATAAGATGTATTGTTAATTTTAAGTTAGATTCAACAGTTTTTTTTTATGTAACCTTCAAAAAAGCTTACACCGGTGGGTTAAAAGGAAACAAATAAACCTTTACCCTGGCAAATGGTGTAAAAGTAAAAAGTAGCAAATATAAAAGTAAAATTAAGTTAGAAAAAGCAATTTTACAGGATATAAATAAATAGTTATTCCAACTTTGCTGACGAATATTTCTGACAAAATATCAGATCAAGGTTATATACAGCGTTGTATATTTGAAAAATAAATCCAAGAAATTTATATTTTGCTTTGGTTGAAACATGTAGCTATTATTTCGTAAAATCTCTTTAAAATGAAAAATAAGTCATTGGTCCGAAATAGGTCATTTTTATACGCCTATGGGGCAAAAAAGACCAGGCTACAGATTTTTGAAAAATCTGTATAAAAACACATTAAAATTATAACGTCTCAGGATGATTATCACTATTTCATAAAACTCGTTTTTTAAAAAAAAATCATGATCATATGTTATCATATAGGTGCTAAAAAATAATTAAAAATAACAGTTAATAATACATTTTTCATATTTATTTCGTAATTCTTCTTAATAATGCAATATTTTTAAAACAGGTACAAGCTTTAGTAGGAAAATGTCTTGGTAAAATTATAGCCAAAAAAGGAAAACCACAATGTAGAAATGAATTAAGAATTATTACAGACTCGTCAAATGGTTTGATTATCTAAATTTATTATTTGAAATTTTGTATATTTTAAAGCTTACTTATATCTACTAGTTTTTATGAAATTTGTCTTTAAAGCTGCAATTTTACAAAAGTCGTAAATATGATCATTTTGTTTCACCCAATTATTATAACTCGCCAATAGTCTAAATCCACATTCACCTGGTTCAGATTTAGGTTTACGCTCAAATGATCTCCGTTAATATCACATTTCTTTATTTAAAAAGCTGCTTAGGAAAAATTTCAGCATGAACAGGCAATACCGCTTTCACATTTCAGATTGCGGAAATAAGAAACGTATTTTATATTTACTTTTTATGTGTCTCGCCGGATTATGAGTACTATTAAACAGTTTATAGCAAGATCTTGTACGATTGCTATAAATTGTGGAAAATAGAGAAGTATGAATTGTCTTAATTATCACATTTAAGAAAAATGTCTTAGTTTTAATCACAATACTTCAGAACAGTATTGTAACATCAAATAAATACAACTATGTATAAAACTTAATTATCATAATTATTGCGTTCAAGATTATCATTAATACGTACCAAAATTGTTAGTTTAGTTTTAGTTTAAATATAATATTTAAATGCAAAATAATAAAACAATATTTTATTATATGAAGTGAGTGCCAAAAAAAAGAAATTATTAGAGACCAAAAATAGTTTTATGTTGACTACGACAAGCGCTACGATGCATAAAAGCCATGGGTAAAAGGAAAAGGCAGGTACAAAAAAATGAGATTAGTAAAAAAGCTGGCTACATGGGTTTTTATCTTCATTTGGTACGTCAGTTAGAATTTGAAGAAATTTAGCGAACCTCATATTATGCATACTCGATGTCTTCTAGCGCCTGGACTACATCAGAAAAGCGACTTATGACAAATTTTGATTATCAGTTTGTCAAACGTTGATAAAATTTCAATATTAAACCGCATGTAGGGCCATATAAATATAGTAAGTTTAGTATCACCTTGATTTCTATCATTATGAAAAAATTTATTGAAATAGCCCAATTTTTTTTAAATTCCCGTAGGGTAAGTTATAGTAAACGCAAAAAAAATCAAAAATGAAATTTTTTATATATCTTTACGTTTCAGAGGTTTCTGAATATTTTGGCATACCTTAGAAGAAATGTATGTATGTCGGATACAAATTTTCGTCGACGATTTTGGGAACACGGATGAACGTGTTCAGCAGCATCACGTGTTGATTAGTTTTTGGCGAAGGCAGATCTAGTCATTCCTAAGATATGGGGCAAAAAGTGCTATAACGGTAACTCAGTTTTTAAGAGAACGGAGCATCCGATTTGAATAATTCAAAAAACATTTTACTTGTATTAGCAAGATAAAGAACTGATCGAATTTTCATGAAGGCAGGTCTAGCGGTTTCGGAGATCTAAAAAAAAATTAAAAAAATGCTATTTGGCGGTCAAAAATTATCATTAAACATATGCACATCAGATATTTTATAGATATTTTAACAATAAGTATAAATTTTGTTATTATTCCTATGGGTTCCGTACCAATGCTAATCCGTTAGACGGCGGCGCGGCGCTTACGCGCTTCCATATTTCGTCTCTGAGCAGTTAAAGCAGTACGATTGCTTTGAAAAAAAGTTTAGAATTTCCAAAATTGTTCAAAATGCACTTTTTTCAAAGTCTTTTGTTCAAAGAAATGTAAATTTTCATCAAAAATTTATAGTTTTTCAAAAATCTAATTTTTCAGAGTAATTTTTTTTCAAAAATGTTAATCTTAAAAAAAAATGGTACGGAAAGTTCCAGCAATTTGCCTTAAGGCACGATGCCATGCGCCCCACTAGTTTAAATATTTAATTACGAACAAACGACCCGGCCGATCTTTAACAAAAACTAATCAACTAAAATCTTTCGAACCATTTTTGTTATTTTAAAATCGATTCAAGATAGCGGGCTAAAACCAGGACTTTTTTCTACTTTTGCGCTAATTACAAAGAAACGTTTTGGCCGAGCATTACGCAAAACTCTTCAAGTTCGAGATACATTAAATGGCTTTTTAATTTTTTTTAAACCGGTCCTATCGTCAACGAGAGAATATGGACAAATGGTCTTAAATCAAATTAGTTTCATTCGATTCATGATGATTTGAAACGTAATAAAGACTATAGTGTTTATTAACTTTTCAAACGTGAAGTTTATATTTCCGTCAGAAAATCAGATTCGCTTATTAAATGTTTTCTCTACGTTTCAAATCATTTTGAATCGAATGGGACTAAAATTAGAAAAGCTGTGTATGTTTAGATATGAATTCAGCAAATAAATATGAATAAAATTCCAATTTCGACCACTACTCCGTATTGATAAAAAAAAGACGAAGCCTATCAAGAATGTACCTATAGGTGATTTATGCAAAACAATATTATCAAATATTATCCTGCGACTGCAGGATAACATATGTTAAACATCTGGACCCGTATCCGCTCCGCTTTTGGAATAAAAGACAAATAAACTGTGTTAATACTCAAATGGATTGACAAAGCTTCATCGCTTCGTATCTTTGAGTTTTGTAATGTTTCGGACGTCACGAGGGACCGTAGGACAATCTTTTTGTCATTTTTCTTTCGCGCACTTTGGACATCTCGTTGGACAAATGGTCTTAAATCAAATTAGTTTCATTCGATTCATGATGATTTGAAACGTAATAAAGACTATAGTGTTTATTAACTTTTCAAACGTGAAGTTTATATTTCCGTCAGAAAATCAGATTCGCTTATTAAATGTTTTCTCTACGTTTCAAATCATTTTGAATCGAATGGGACTAAAATTAGAAAAGCTGTGTATTTGTGTGTGTGTGTCAGAGCCGATCTTAGACCTTTTATCCACGCTCTCGTTAACGGCTGGAACGAATATGTTTAGATATGAATTCAGCAAATAAATATGAATAAAATTCCACATTTCGAGCACTACTCCGTATAATAAAAAACGAAGTCTATCAAGAACGTACCTATAGGTGATTTATGCAAAAACAATTTATCAAATATTATCCTGCGACTGCAGGATAACATATGTTAACATCTGGACCCGTATCCGCTCCGCTTTTGGAATAAAAGACATTAATAAATGTAATACTCAAATGGATTGACAAAGCTTCATCGCTTCGTATCTTTGAGTTTTGTAATGTTTCGGACGTCACGAGGGACCGTAGGACAATCTTTTTGTCATTTTTCTTTCGCGCACTTTGGACATCTCGTGTTTTATACATTTGATCTGTAAACATCAGGTGAGTTGGAATCGCTCGGCGCGCAATCGCGCGTGGCGCTTTCCATGCGCCATTGAGCATTGGGTCCGGCACATGACGGAGGGCGACTCGGGGACTACGTACGAGCGCCGAGCCTAAAGGACACCTCAGCTCAGCTGTGGACCGCGGCCAATTCTATTCTGTTGAAAAAAGATAAGAACGTACGCACGAATACGCTGGGTCGGCTCTAATCTCATTTGGCATCTTTACACTTCCGAGCCTTAGAGATCTCCAACATTAAAACGGAAGTTTAAAATTTTCATAGGCTTTTTGCTTATAGAAGACAGTGAAATTACTTTGTGAATGACCGCTGGTTGAATAGTTTTGAAAATATTTCAATAATATTATTATCGAAGTAAAACTTCTTTAGGCGCGACTAGGTTGTGAGCCGTACAAATGCAACGGAAGTGCGTTACGGCAGATAAGATAAGAGTCGAGTGCCAATGATTTGTCATTTGATCTCGATGATATCTATACGGGTCGATTGTGATTAGTCGTCGCGTATGTGAATAGAGATCTGTCGTGGCATGCGTACCGGCATCAAGGTTGTATG